CCCCCCTTCCCCGCCGCCGCTCCCCCGGCGGGCCCGGGGGCGCCGCCGCCGCCCCACGCTGGCGCAGAGGCCCGGGCCCGGGCCCGCCTCGCCGCTGAGGATGTCCCGGAAGGCGCCGCGGGCAGAGGTGTGCGCCGACTGCAGCGCCCCAGGTAAGGGCCCCCCCGCATCGGCACCGGCACGGCCCCGCCAGCTCCCCCGCGCCTCCGGCTGCCCCCCGGAGCCAGCTCTGCGCGCCCCCCCCGCGCCACCGAGAGCCCCCTCTGCGCCCCGTGGCACCCCCGGTGCGTGCCCCGCACCCCCGACTGCCCCCGCTGTACCCCGAGGTGTTTGCCCCCGGAGTGCTCCCCATGACCCCTTTCGCATCTCCTTCTACACCCCACATCGAGACCCCTTTGCAGCTCCCTGGGTGCCCCCAGGATCGCCCTGGTGATTCCTTTCTGCGCCCCGCTCTGCACACCCAAGGGAGCCCCACTGAGCCCCCCGCCTACCCCCCCAGGAACCCTCTGATGTGCCCCCAGTGAAACGCTTTGATGAAACTCATGACCCCCTTGCTGCAGCCCCTTTTAGCCTCTTGGAATACCCTCATACACCCGAGACACAGCCCCGATCCCCCCGCATGCCCTCCTCCGTGCCGCTCCAGCGCGCCCCGCGTGTCCCCACGCCCCCCTGCACCACCCACAGCTTTCTCACCCAGCGCGGGGGCTGCTGGCACAGGCTGGGGACGCGCCGGTCGGTGCCAGCAGCGCTGGTGACCCTGTAAATGACAGGATGATGGGGGACGCTCCTGCACCCCACAGCCAGCACCCACCCCAGCCGGATCCGGGCTTGGCGGTGCCGGTTGGGCGAGCCGGGCGGCCGCCGCGCTGCAAGCCAGAGCCGAGCCTGGGCAAGACCATTCCCATCCCCGGCGGTGCCGGTGCCCGCAGCCCCCACGCTGGGGACGCGCCCGTGGGCGTCGCGGAGGGTTTGGCCCCCCAAAGCCTGCCCACGGTAGGGCTGGACCCCAAAGCTGCCCGTAGCCAGTGCAGGTGGCCCCACGGCAATGAATGAACGGGTCTCCGAGCCGGCCCCGGAAAGCTGCCCGCGGGCCAAGGCTGTGCCGAAATTATTCCGGCCACGTGCCAATGGCCGGATCCTGCCAGGAGAGCTGTCGGCACGCGTGGGCGAAAGGCTGCCCTGCCTCCAGGCATCCCCCGTGCCGGCGGGCAAGCGGGGGGCCAGGGGTTCCCGGGGCGGTGCCGGGGCTCCCTGCTGCGGCCAGGGGAAATGGAAAACAGTTTCTTCCAATCTCTTATCGCCTGGCAGCCATGGGAGGAAATGAGTTATAAAGTCCAGAGGCCGTTTCCTAGCGCGCTGGGAGCACCCGCTGTCGCTGCCGGGGATGCGCTGCCTGGCCCTGCGTGGGGAGGTGCCCGGGGGTGCTCTGATCCCCCTGCCCGGCCTCCCTCGGCCCCACGCAGGGATGCCGGCTGCCCCAGCCCTGCCGTCACCGTTGCGGGGCCGAGTGCTGGGGGTCCCGGTGTCAGCCCGCATCCCGATGCAGGGATTGAGGTGCTGCGAGCTCCCTTGGACTCCAGGATCCTCCCAGGGTTTGGAGTGTTCCTGTGCAAGCACTCCACGATCTGCTGCAGTGCCCGCCCGCATCCCGCCACATCCCAGCGGTCCTAGGGCGGGAGGGGCTGTTGCCCCAGGGATACTCTGGATCCACCCGCTTTGGGGGGCCGGCTCCCCCCGCACGGAGCGTCCTGTTCCCGGCGGTGGCCGTGGGCAGCGGGTGCGAAGGCACAGATGCCGCCGCACCGGCTGCCAAGGCGCTGCCATCTGCGTGCGCGGGGCTGCCAGGCTGGGGGGGCCACCGCTCCCCCCGGCCACCCCACCCCGGCCCCGGGGCACTGCAGCATGGCAGGATGCCGTGCCCCCCAGCACGGTGTCCTCAGGGCTCTGGGGGGCTGCGTGGGGAGGGGTCCGGGACCCTGCAGGGAGGAAGGAAGTGGGGGAGGCTTGGCTGCCTGCCTGTCTTCCTCCCTCTGTGAGGTCGTGAGGCCACTGTCCCCCCTCAGGGCCGTCGGGCAGGCCAGTGCGGCCACCTCCCCAGGCCCTGTATCCCCGGGCTTGGGGCTGCCCCCTCCATGGGACAGTGTGGTGTTTGTTTAGGACCTACAGGAACAAGGGGAGGGGGTGGGGCTGGGCGGGGGGTGGCAGGACTCCGCCGTGGTGCCCGGCGAAGGGGACACCTGGGAACCATTCAGCATCGTCACCCCGTGCCTGGCTGCCTTTCCCGGGAGGGGGGGAGGTGGCTGTGACCCAGCGGGGGTCCGCAAATCCTGTCCTCATTCTGCTGTGAACAGCTGCAGCTCAACGGCCACACCACGGGGCCAGACCCCCTCGTCCCCAGGACCCGTTTTTTGGGGTGCAGGCGTGGGGAGCTGCTGCCTGCCCGGAGCGGTGCCCCCGCGGGTGCCGGGGCTGGTGCCAGCGCGGGGCCAGCGCGGCTGCTCAAACGATCCTTTGTTCCCGGCGGGGACACAAAGGGCTCCAGTCCGGCTGGCCGGGGCCAGCAGCGGGGCTGGAGGGGCAGGGCAGCGTGGGGGGCCATGGCACCTGCCCCGGAGCTGGGGTGTCCTGGGGGCTGGCTGCCCTGGGGTGCTGAGGGTGCAGAGCTGGTGACCACCCTACATAGGAGCCTACTGGAGGTGCCCACCCATTGTGGGGCACACTGCCCCCATCCAGGACCCCCCAAACACCGAGGCAGGGACTCTGGGGGTGAGTGACCTCGCAGTGAGCCAGGGTGCCCCTGATTGGAGTGTGCTGGCATCATCCCTGCCACCAGCTGTCCTCCTGATGGTGGGGGGCCAAACCCTGCCCCCCTTTTGGCTGGTGGTTGCTATGGGAAACCCGTGGGTTTCCCCTGGTGATGGGCTGAGCCCCTCTCCATCTCTTGGGAAATGGTTGCCATGGCAACGCATCCCCCCTGCTGGATGGATGCATGAGGAGGGGATGGCATGGGGAGGGGACACCCGCTGACATCCCCATGCCACCCCCAGACCCTGGCTGGGCGTCGATCAACCGCGGGGTGCTCATCTGCGACGAGTGCTGCAGCGTGCACCGCAGCCTGGGCCGCCACATCTCCATCGTCAAGCACCTGCGCCACAGCCCCTGGCCCGCCACCCTGCTCCAGGTGGGTGCTGGGGACGCTGGAATGTGGGGACACGCACACTGGGACCCCCCCGTGCCCACTGGGCCCTGCCTGTCCCCTGCAGATGGTGCACACCTTGGCAAGCAACGGGGCCAACTCCATCTGGGAGCACTCGCTGCTGGATCCAGCGCAGGTGCAGAGCGGGCGCCGGAAGGCAAACCCCCAGGACAAAGTGCAGTAAGTGCCCCCTGTGCTGTGGGGAAGGGGTCAGCTCTGGCTGGCAGCCCCCTCCTCACCCCAAAACCCACTGCCCACCCTCCAGCCCCACCAAGTCGGAGTTCATCCGTGCCAAGTACCAGATGCTGGCCTTCGTCCACAAGCTGCCCTGCCGGGATGACGACGGCGTCACTGCCAAGGACCTCAGCAAGGTGGCGTGGGGCTCAGGGACCCCCCTGTGGCAGTGGGGACAGATCCCCCCATTACCAGCTCTCTCTCCTCTGCAGCAATTGCACTCGAGCGTGCGGACGGGCAACCTGGAGACCTGCCTGCGCCT